TATTTCTGAGGGAGGGGCTTCATAAAAGAAGGAAATGATCAGCACGTTTCTCAGAGAAGGGACAGAGCGGTGTGGAATAAAGGTTAATTATGTGAAAAAAATAATGCGTTTTTAAAAAAACAAAGCATTTACACATGTTAGACTGCACCCCATAAACACAATCAAGCCTAGAAAAAAAAACAGTGAACCACCCCTTTAAGAACTTCACTGCCTGTGATATAAAAGATTTTTTCCCCCTATTTTTAAAAAACACGGTATTCTAAATCTTCTACCTGAAGGTAAAAGCTCAAATAAATTAGTACTGATACATATTTACATGCATAAGCGACACAAAGGAAAACACCTCTTAAAAGATTACATTTACCAACCTCATTTTTGGCACCATCTTCTTGCTGTTTGTCTTTCAGCTTAGCCAACTGACACAAAGATTTGATGGCCTCTTTAAAACCAGAACAGTAATATAAGACCTGAAATTTGTAAGAAGGGCAAAACTTTTAAACCTATTAAAAAATTAATAGGATCCAAACTACTGTAATGTTTTGTGTGCGTGTATATATATATATATATATATATATATATATATATGCTGTTTGATATTCCAGTATTTTTATGGATTATAGAACGATAAAAAGGCATATCCAAAATCCCCTCTGTAAAAACCTTTATGTAAACAAAATTAAATGTAACAATTTTGAACAGATTTATGTTCTGGATATGAATGTAAATGAGTGCATATTTAATCAGATATAGGATAATTTACATATTTGAACATAACATTTCAGAAAACCTGTAATGCAAAACAACTATGATTCATTCATTATGATTTTATATATTGGTTAAAATTTCACCCTATTCACTTGTGGTGTCCTGCCTTAAGAACAGAGTGTCATGAACAATACATGAACAGTAGGGAAGCTGAACAGTAATACCTGAAGGATGCTGTTCAGATAGCAGGTGTTCCCCAAATTGTTAAGCCCAACGAAGGGGACCAGGCTCTCACGCTTTTCACAAGTAAGAGGAGATGATGGGCAAGGCACTGGCACAACCTGGCCATGACTTAAGGGGGAAAAGTGAAAACAATTAGGGAAAAAAATGTGTATTTTCAAATATAAGCTGTATTTGATAGCCCAATAACAACATTCCATACTTAGTCTCTTCTGGTTCTGCGGTACTGTTGTCCTCTGCCGGGGCCTCTGAGAAGTCCAGGGCTCGTTTGGTGTCCTTCTTCTGGAAGAATTTTAGAGAGAGTTTGCTCTTCTTCACAGGACTGCCAACTGCAGCCACCACTCCACCTTCACTATGCAGCACGGGCATTTTGACTATTCACTATAGAAGATGAAAGAAAACCCAAAGCAAACGTCAAAAAACGAAACAAACTCAATCAAAACATTCACGATCAGCTACGTACCGCGTGAAAGCCTTAAGCTCAGTTTGCCCTAGAAAGTAATAGAAGCGTTTTCTGCTACGAATATGACTTTAACTACCAACCTTTCATTTATATATAATCGCTTAATGTTAAATATTCGCGTCATATGATCTCGAGACTCTTAGTTTGATCATTTTTTTTATTCATATGCATGAAGGCACATATATAGCAGTGTGGCTAACTGAGTAGCCGCCCAGCCCACACAACACGCGCGTTTATTTTCAGCAAGAGTACTTCAGAGTCACGTAATAAAACTAGTCTACATTTAATGGTCTTACCTAACGAGTCTTATAATGCGCGCGTTACATTTTCGCAAAATACAATCCCAAGTACGCAGTTTCGTTTTGAATACACACAAACTTGACAACCGCGTCTGCCACAGAACTTGGCGCTTTTTCCACGACTGAGATTCCTCCGCTACTGCCTGAACAAAAGGAGGTAGTAGAATAAACTGTGTGAAATTAAAGAAGGAGCACTGCCGCGAACTGTATGATTAAATGCGTATTTTTTTAGTTTAAGAACATATTGTTTTTTCAAAACTATGAATAAAAATGAATATATTACTGCTGGCATAATTTTGGACAACTACGTCCTCTGACATTTTAAACCGATCTGAGATCAGTAAAGTGTGGGTTTGTAACCTCCTTGCGAATAGAAGGCTGAATCTGGATCAGCGTAAAATAAGGAGCTTCACAGGAAACCGTCTCGTCTGGACAACGGGAAGCACAGATGGTCATTTTCTTATAAATAAATCGATTCTTTTGTTTAAATATTTTAAAGTGCAGATTATTTTTTTAAAAATCATTCTAACTGCATGTCTTTAAAATTGTCTCAATTTTGATTACTTAAAATGACGCAGGCCGAGAACGAGAAAAAATGTTTATGTTGTTTAGGACGCAGTCGGTATAGACTGTTATTAGTGATGTCAAATTTAAAAACGTGCATGCCAGAAACTACAACATAACTCGTAGCTAAAACATAAAAAAATAACAATAATGATAATAATAATAAAACATTGAATTCCCGTTTGTTTTTTTTCTAAAATAATCTGAAAATAAATAATAAATATTATGAAACTTGTTTCATACAGTTTTTTTATTATTATTTTTTTATTAAATGTACAAAAAGTATTTCTTATCGTTCACCAGCAGATGGACATCAAGAACAGTGCATGAGTTAACTGGGACATTCAGTCACCAACCATCCACATCAGGGGTGTCTAGTCCTGCTCCTGGAGGGCCCCTGTCCTGCAGGGTTCAGCTCCAAACCTCACTTAAACACACCTGAACCAGCGAATCAAGGTCTTACTAGGCATACTAGAAACTCCCAGGCAGGTGTACTGAGGCAAGTTGGAGCTAAACTCTGCAGGACACTGGCCTCCAGGGCCGAGTTTGGACACCCCTGATCTATATCTACTTTATTTCTTTTTTTTCATATTCGGAATAGGCCTAGTTCTACGTGATATACATATTTACAAATAATACTCACATTTTTGTTCCACTCAACTTTTTTCCCAACATTAAAATTGTATTTTAACATGTATATGAATTACAATCGAAAGTGTAACAAATCATTAAAGTTTAATATAAGAGGTCAAACTACTGTATGCATAACAATGATAAAAGAAATGTGTAGAATAGTGCTGTATGGAGTGTAGCAGATTACACAATTGGACACAGCTGTCACTGCAGTGGAATGTCATTTCACCTGCCCATGTACATATTGTACCGAGGCATCTAATCTGCAGATGTGCTTGAGGAGGATGATCTCAAACAACTCAGATCACATCAGCATCTGCTGATCATTTGGATCTACTTACTTCGAACATTATTTCTGTGTGTGTGTGTGAATATGCACCTTTATGTAAAAGAGACTCAGGGTAGTTGTCAAAAAGGTTGTATATCAGTAACCACACTAGAATGCATTCAGGCAAATTGTGGTTGAACTGACAAGAATATCTGCGGTTGAGGCAAGTAGTCACATATGTTTAATATCTTGTATTTCTGTGCAATTTATTAAATGGCATAAAATGTCATTAATTTATAATTATTTTATTGTTAATATTATTTTTATATAATTAAATTGTTTTTCTTTTAATGTAAAATATAAAACAATGGCTTGACTTTTTTTTGTGTTACCTTACATCTTTTCTTTTTTTTTGAAACATTGTTTTTCCATTTAAATTTACAAACAGAAACTACCTCAATAATATTTATGCATTAATATAGTGCATATGCATTATGCATTAATAAAATGCAATAAATATTCACTGGATTGTGACAACTAGCCTGGTCTCCTCCTATAAGCCAAATAATAAACTCTTGTATTACTGTGTACTTGTATCTGTGAATGTAGAAACCGGAGGAAATGCACCTCTTTTCATTCCCCTACAGTGTTAACCGTGAATCCGTGCAGAACGCAGTCACTGTCGGAGGAAAAACAGCCCTGGGAAGGAGCTTTTTAGTCTGGAAATGCAGAGAAATAGACCAGCGCACTCAAAGAATGAGAGGCATGTCCTGCACTCTTTTTAGCCCCAGCTGAGCTGTGTGCTGTTTTTTAAATCACTTTACCACTCTAAGCCTACCTCAGTGTCAGTGATACACAATACACTCCAGCTGGATCACACACACACACACAGACAGAGATTATGTCAGCACTTGAGGCAGAGCTCAAGTAGCATACATATAGGCAAAGTGGTTAAACACCAGTTTAATCTTTTATCAGTCGGCTGTACTGCTTTAATCCTAAAGCATTTGAATGTGATGCAGAAGCTAGATGGGGGGTGTTGGCTGCTGCTGTGTGTGTTTGTGTGTCTGACCCTCTGACTGCCATTGGATGAGCTCTGCGGGAGGGGGTGTGTTCAGGCTCACAGTATAGCGCTTGTTATGAGAGCCTTCTGCCGTCCCCTTCCACAAACCTCAGTAACAAACATATCGTAGCCTCCGAGGCTGAGTGTGTGTAGGGGATTGAGGAGTGCCTCTACCGCCGTTGCAGCTGGTTGCGGCTTCCTCCCTGTGCTGGATTTCCTTGAAGGTCTGCCTCACCTCTGCAGTGCCTAGGAAAAAAATAAGGGCCCCCCAGAGACTGAGGTAAGTGATGTGAGATAATACATTCCATGTCTGTCAGCTCCATTATTCAACTTTTCTCTTGTTTACCTTTGGAAAATGCAGCACACCTCTATAGATCCCACCCACCATCCCTTAAAACCACCCTTTTCATTTCTTGTTGGGCATTTCAGGCCGTTCTTCTTATTATGTGCTGTTCTTCTAGTAATAATTCAATATTTCTAGATTGGACTACATCCTTCATTGCAGACCTTGGCTGTTTTCATAGTAATCTTGCCACCTTGATAGCATTTCTGGCCATCATAGACACCTAAATGCTGTCTAGGTGGGCAGCCTATGTCTCGTAGCACAAATCATCTCATCCCGCGCTTGGCTGTGCTGTTTCAGTTTACCTCCCCGCTGGGTTGTCGTAATGTCGAGCAGCGTGTCAATCTGGCAGAGACACGCGAGGAGGGAGCGATGCGTTTACCCGTGCCGTAGTGCAGCACTGCGCTCGTGACGCTGGGCTGCTAGAGCTCGCGCGTCCGCAGTGCTGCTCAATAGCTCAGGCTTGGTTATTTCGCGATGGTGTCTGGCTCATTTGCAGCGACCCAGAGACGGTGAGCTCAGCTGGTCGAGATCTCTGTGATATCCCGCGATGCCCTAGGCGAGATCCCAGCTGCCATGTAGAAAGGTTCCTGTTTGATTCGCGTGCAGAGCGCGCTTTCCTGCTTGTTTCAGGCGCAACCGAGATAGCGGGTTTTGCATTCAGATGCTATGGTCATTGGTCACTGTGCATGTATTTATTCTTTACACATGTAGGCTGCTTAATTAAGCAATGCATTTTCTAAACTGTAAGTTGACTGTAGCAACACGAATTGCTTACTGTTCAATCAGTTTCTACAGAAACAAAACAGAGTCCAAAAATTATTCACCTGTTCACCTGACAATTTTTTTTTATCTCATTACAGAGTATAGACAGTCAGTTCCTTCTCACAACGTGGAGATTATGGAACATATGTGGGTGAGGGAGTGTCAAATTCCCCTAATTAAAGGGGTCATATGATGCTGCTAAAAAGAACATTATTTTGTGTATTTGGTGTAATGAAATGTGTTTATGCCATGTACCCCACAAAACCAATGGTTTGGGGATCTTAGTAAAACCTCTTTATTAAAACAAGCATGCATAGTTTCAACAGGGTTTTCAAACCTTTAGATAAAGATAAAAGTTAGAATAGAGCTGCAAGCGGCAATCATCTGGGTCAAACACCAATGGTTCATGTGGATGATTAGTGATTTCAATTTTTTTTTTTTACTGTAAAGTCCATATTGAATCTTCACTGATAATTAGGGTTTGATGAAACACACAGGCGTCAAAAAGGGGGACAGACTTGTAAAGGAAATAACTCTCTCTTAATGTAAAAAAAAAAAAAAAAAATAGCTGAATCGCATGTCATAGGACAGTTTTAAATGAATATGAAGATATCATTTGAAGCTCAAAACTTTATTTATCTTAATGTTCTTTTTATTTTTATCATTTATTTTTTATCATATATTTATCTTAATGTTCTTTTTATTTTTATCATTTATTTTTTATCATAGGTGTGGCCCACTAGCCTTTTAATGGATGTATTTGTGTAAACCAGGGGTCACAAAACTCGGTACTGGAGGGCCGTTGTCCTCCAGAGCTTAGCTCCAACCCTAATCAAACACACCTGAACCAGCTAATCAAGCTCTTACTTAAACTTGAAACTTCCAGGCAGGTGTGTTGAGGCAAGTTGGAGCTAAATTCTCCAGGGCATCAGCCCTCCAGGACCGAGTTTGTTGACCCCTGGTGTAAACTCTAAAATGCCATGTTTTGTAGAATTTAACCTAAAAACAAACAAACAAACCAAAAAACTTTTCCAAATAAACCATGTAATTTTAGACAAATTATAATATTGTAAAATAGCTACTGCAATGTAGAAATACTACACAGAACAAATTGTTATATTATTTCAGATAACATGTTGAGCTTTCTGTATATGCTTGTGGTTTATGCTTGCAGTGTTTGTTTGTTATTATTCATACAACAACACTAAATAAATATATTTATAGAAATATTATAATATATATCATCCTAAAAGAAAGTAATAAAATTGAACAAATAATATTTTAAAAAATCTAATAAAATAAAATTGCCAATAAATAAAAGCAATATATTTAATCAT